GGGACAGGGGTCACCGCCAATGGGCAGCACAGAGGCTTGGGAGGCGGCAGCGGCGTGGACCTATCCAATATGTGGCATCAGTCAAGGGTTCAGGAGGGGGACGAGGGGGAGGAGGAGGAGGCGCCCTTGCGGGCCTACAATCCGCGCCATTACCAGCAACAGCAAGAGCAGCAGCAGGAGCAGCAGCAGGAGCAGCAGCGGGAGCAGCGGCAGCAGCAGCAGCAGCAGCAGCAGCAGCAGCAGCAGCAGCAGCAGCGGCGCGAGCGGCCCTGGCGAACGCCGCCCGGTTGGCCCGCCGCCACCGCCGCCGCTGCCTCGGCCGCCACCGCAGGCCCCCCACCGGCTGCCGGTGCGCTGCTGCATGTGCAGCCGCCGCGCGGCGGACCGCCCGGCCTCGCCGCCGCTGCAGCCGCCGCCGCGGCAGCGCCCCGTCGGTCCTGGATGGACGCGGCCGCTGCGGCCGCGGCCGCCGTCGCGCCGCTGGTTGCGCCGCCGCCGCCGCCGCCACCGCCGGCAGCAGCAATGCACGCCATCGTGGCACCAGCCAATCCGTCTCCATCGCCGCCGCACGCCACCCTGTACCATGCCGCCGGCAGCGGCGGGGTCTTCCGCGACGAAGATTACTATCACGGCGGCGGTTACGGCGGCGATTTCGGTGGCGGTTACTCCGGCAGTTACGGCAGCGACTACGACGGCGGTTACGCCGCGGCTGCTGAGCTGGAAAACCACCTCCTCCAGGCCGGCCTGACTGATGAGCAGATTGAATTGCTGCTGGCTGAAGCTGAGAACGATTCGCAATTGCGACAGCTGGAGCCGGATTGGGGCGAGGGCCCGACGACGTCGCAACCGGACCCGAGCCGCGCCGGCGACGGCGGCCCCTCTGCTTACGACGAATCCGACTTCGCCGGCCTCACCGCCTTTGGCGGCCACCCCGGCGGCGGCGGTCACGGCGGTCACGGCGGTCGCGGCGGTTACGGCAGTTACGGCGGTTACGTGGAGGAGTTTGACTCGGTCTCGGGGTCGGCGTCCCCGGGCGGCCCCGACCTCGCGGCGGTGCCATCATACGGCTCCGGCTCGGAGGGTGACGTCATCACCAGCGAGGACTACGACCTGACTGACAGCGAAGACAGCGGCGCCGCCGCTGCCGCGCCCCGGGCGTCCGAGCTGCTCGCGCGGCGGAGGGCGTACCTGGAAGCACTGAGAAGCGAGCTGCACGCCATTCACCGCGCCCCCGACGCCGCCGCCGCCGCCGCCGCCGCGCCGCCTGCGGCCACCGAG